CGTGTGTGTGTAGAAAGGGATCCAAACCCAGCCGGGGACACTGACTCAAGGCTCCTCTGGCGGGAGCGGGGAGGATGTGCTGTCGTGTGCCTCTGGCTTTCACCAATTCCTGGAAGCAGCTGGAGTTCGGTCAGTCCACGGGATGAAAAAAAAAAAAGAGTGAGATGCGTTTCCTTGGCTGGAGAGAGCCGGTTCTCAGAAGTTTTGAAGTCCTTCAGAACTTCGTAACGCTGCTGTTGCAGAACCTTTCGTTCAAATTAAATTATGTTTGAGGTGTAGCCATGGAGAGGCTTTGTTTTTATTCTGAAAAGCATCATCCTTATCTCATTATAAAAACCTGCTTTTCATACAGTGATTACTTTCTGGATAATAAAACATCGGGGGTTGCTTTTATGAATCCCTCCTGTCGGTCCTCTGCGACAGGTCAAACTCCTCCTTCACCCCAGAACTACGCAGCAGGTTTCAGCTCAGCGTGGATGCTGTGTTGGAAGTAGTTTTGTCTGTGGCGTAAGAAGCTGGAACCCTGATGGTTTCCCTCTTTGGTCCTTCCTTTCGAAGCTGGAGGACTTGCAGGTTGAGGTTTTTCTCTGGAACTGTCTTTCTCCAAGCTGCTCGATGGTAATCGCTGTTTCGGGTGGTCACAGAAAGCCATTCCGGTGGGAAATCCCTGGTTTTCCAGCTCAACAAGTTGTTGAAGAAGATAGGGGCTTGGGTGTCTTCTCGTGTGACAGTCACACGAGGCCGAATAGCGCGTTGCACCTCCTTCATCCACTAGTAACGCAGGAATAATTTTTACCTTGTTCAAATCACTAGCTAAACCTTTTCTTTTTTATTAATACTTTGTACTAGAATTGATAGACTTTGGCTGAACATTTAATTAAATATCACAGAGCAAGCAGAGATGAAGTAAACTTGAAAAAATCATATTTATAATGGGAAATACTCGCTCTCTGTTCCTGTAAGTAGGACTTCACACCTAGGAGAGAAAGATCAGCAAAAAACCTTTGTGCTGTTCTCCCCGGTTTGTTTATTTTGGGCGGTTTTATATCTTATCGGTTTCGTTGTTTCTTGCCGTCTGGTTTGCTGCTGTTGTGAGTCGTTCAGGGGACAATAAGGCAGAGAAAAAACCAGAGAGGGGGAGACAGAATGCGGTTTCGCACTCCAGAAATGAATGGGGTGTTTCTGCAGCGCTGGAAATTTATTTTAATTTTTGCAGTTGGCTGGATTTCAGTTTGACAGTGCCCTGTTTACTGGTAGCACCCAACATGTCCCCCTTTGCAGGGGTACCAAACGTAGATTTTTCTTTGTGAAAAAAACTAAAACTCCGTTAGAGCGTATATAAAGTTGTGTCCCTTACACGTGCTTGTCGTTAATTCTGCTCTTCGGTTTTTATTGCTTCAAGATACTTAAATTACTTTAGTTCTCAATTTTATTTAAAAAAAAAAAAAAGCCAAAAAGAGTCTTCCTGACTTTCAGGCGAGCTCTGCAGTAGCTGGAAAAAAGACAAGGTGTTGGGATTGCCTTGCTGGGCTCCGGCAGCGGGGCTGGTTTCGTGCAGCGTGAGCAGCAAGCGGCCAAGCTGGAGCCTGGGCTCCCGATGACGCCGAGGGGAAAGCACCGTTACCAGCAGCAGCGACGGGATCTTAGCAAAGGCAGGCGGGAGAGTTTTGATGAGCTGAAGGTTTCCAGAAGCTGGGAACTGCTGAAGCGCTGCCCTGCTCCCGAGAGCTTTTTATTCTGGAGCAAAACCTTCATTTTCCTGCTTCAGCTCTAACTGCGGCCGGATGGTTTCATGTTTATTGACAGAAGTGTGTTGGGAAGCTGTGGCGTATGTTAGCGGAGGTTTGTTCCGTGCTGCAGAGGATACGGTTTCGTGTATCACCCAACCATTGGTTTTCTCTCCCCAAATTCCCGTTTTAGGGCCTAGTTTGAGGAGCTGTGCAGCGGGACTCCTCGGAGGAGCGAGGGTTGTGAGAGCGAGGCTCTGGTCTTGGTGCACGCTGACTTTTTACCCTCCGAGCCGACGTCAGGCTGCAAGAGCTGTGGTTTATCTCAGCAGGGAAAAATCAATGACTCACATTTCCACAGAAAGAAATGTAATTTCCAGTCTCATAGCAACTGTCCTTTCAACAGTTTCAAACCTTCTGTGACAAAATGTTTTAACACTCACCCATCATCTCTTAATGCGCTCGGCTGGTCCACCCACTCACCCCACCTCGGAGCAGGCGTTTTACATCACCAGATCCCCCAATATCGGAGGGGGGATGCTGTCAAGACACGTTGAGCAGTTAAATATAAAACCTTAGCAGTGAGAGAAGTGTTGCTGGCTGTACGGTATGGAGACGGAGTGACTTTCGCAGGGTTTAAAATTCAAAACTGTCTTCTCTGTGCTTTGATTCTGAAACCCTGGTTTGTTTAAAACACCTTCAGATGTTTTAAAATAGGCTTGCCTGGTAGGTTGGGTAAAATATTTTGGGAAATTATTTTACTTAGAGAAAGATATTCCTTAGTGTAAATGCTTTAGCTTGGTTTTCTTCCTCTATTTCATGATTTTGTTTATTTTGATGAAAAAAAACAGGAAAATGGGTGAAGTTCAGCAGCAGGTGGGTCTGAACCAGAGCTGGTTGGACTGGAGATGTTGTCAGGGCCAAACGGGACTGGTCTCCCGTTCCGAAACGGGGCTTTGTGCTGCGCTCAGCCTGCCCAAAGCCACGGGGCAGGTCCGTGGAAAGGCTCCCACCGCGTCTGTCCCCGCTTGTCCCCGTGAGAAGGCATCGCAGTGCTCAGGGTATCGCAGGGGAAGTGGCAAAAAAAGGACAAGAACTAATGAAAAACGTCCAAATAAGCCTAAAAGCATCATGCACTGAGGTTCTGTAAAGTGTCGGTGGGAGCCGGGCACCCGTCTGCTGTTCAGATTCCTCGTTAACTGAGTTTACCTCGTTCCTTTTCTCGTAGCTGATTATGGAAGAGGGGCACAAGAGCAGCAACAACAGCGCAGTGACGCCGTCCCCAGCACCAGCCGTACAAGGTACAACACTACAGGCAGCTCAGCTCTCTCATATTGCTCAACAGGTAAAGCCTGGGCTGAATCTCGGCAAACGTTTGAGGTAGTTAAGAGCCATTTTTTATGTACTACGAACGATATTTATTCTTGATTTTTAGAAACACACAGAAAAAAAAAAAAAGAGCTTGAAAAATCTGTGCTTGTTTGTTGATGGATGCCACCAAATGAATAACGTGGCTTGTGTTCAAAAGGCCAAAATTAAGAATAATAATAAAATAAAAATAAAGTTGGAAATTTGACAAACTTGCTACGAGGTGATGTCACTTGCAAAGCTTTACCCTGAATTCCTCATGATTCAACTCCCTGCGTCCGAAGAAGCGTCTCTGCTCCCGCAGCCGTCCCGTGAAACGACGTTGTGCAGCTCGGCCGCTGTTCACCCCACGGAGGCGATTTAGATTTTGATGCAGAATGTAGATAACGGCATGAGGCAGAGAGAGGACAGTGGCAGCGAGCATCCTGTTGTTTGTTTACGGGCTGGTTTTCTGGTTTTATATCAAGTTGCCAACGTCACTAAACGTAAGGATGTACGATATGAAATGGAATGGAAAGTCAGCTGCAGGAGTTTTAGGGATCCCTTCATCTTTTCATACATTCCAGATTAATAATGTAGTGAAGAAATTTGTTGAGGAAACTGGTTATTTGCATCCACGTGTATAACTTTAATTGATTTTTAAGTGCAAAGGCTGATGTGAGTTCATCAGAAATCCAGATCTGCTGGATGTAAAAAGTATTTTCTGTAGGGGTAGCAGCAGTAATTAACTTTTTGCCAATTAAACCTAAATTTCAGCTACGACATTTATTGAGATTGATGGTTTTAAAATATTAAAGAACCGATGCTGTAATTTTTATTTGGAAAAATCTGCTCTGTGTTCTTGTCCAGAGCTTGCACCCCTTGGCTCCTGCACTTTCCTTTCTGCTCCTCTGGCTCTCCTTGTGCCTGGAACTTTCTTCAGTAGATTAGTTGGCTTTTGCTTTACTCAACTCCTGTGATTTCTGTGAAATCTTTGAACCATAGCCTCGTGCCAGTTGCTTAAAAAAAAAATTAAAAATATTCCAGGAACACCAAATATGTACATTATTCATGCTGCCTGCTGCAGCGCTGTCAGTCTGAGCCATCCTCAGTGCCTCGTCCCAAGGATCCTTTCCTCTGCAGTTAGATTCCAGCGCCTTCAACTCCTGTTCACTTCAGCGAGAGTTAAGGCTACTTATGAGGCACTTTCATGTCTGTTTATTTAAGTCCAACACACTCTTAAAGTGGAATAAACACTTAAAGCCCCACATTTGTGGCAGTTTATGTTTTTATTTGTGCGTAGGGATGGACGTACGCGAAAGCAGTCGTGCTGGCTGCGTCTCGCTGTTGGGATTCTGCAGAAGCCTGCTGCCTCGCGGTTCATTTGGAACTGTGTGCATTTAAGTTGCATTTTAATCTTTTGCACATAATGCTCCGTATTTGATTTTCCCCCTAGCCTCAGGCAAATAACTGTTTCAGCCTTTTTTTGTACTCAGAAATCTGTTCTCTTTCAAGGATACCTTCTGTGACTTAATTAGACTTAAAAGAACCTCCTGCTGATGCGTGTTCTCCGCTCCTTGTCCCGCCTGTCTGTGCGCTTTCTGAACCCCGTAGCACAAACGCTTTTGGTGATGATTCTTTGGTTTGTTGTAGATGTCGCTCCGAGGTCCCGCTCCCCTGACGGTTGTTCAGCTTCCTGGAGAACAGGTCCAGGTGCAGGGAGTCATTCAGACAGCTCAGTCCTCCTCCGTCATCCACTCGCCCCAGGTGCAGACCGTGCAGGTAACTACGGATCTCGGCTCTTAGCACCCGGGAATCCTGGGTGGTGTGAGAACAGACGTGCGAAGGCTTGTCTGACTCAGCCCGCTCTGCCGCAGCGCAGCCGTTCTGCTGTAAGAGCGAGCGATCCAGTGACGGGATTTTGGGGATACATGGTTCATTGTGATCATTGAGGCTTGGAATTATTTGTAGTGTTAAAGTTGCCTTTGGAGTTGAAATTAAACTGTTTGATGTTGCCTCCTTTTATTAAAAAAAAAAACCAAAACCAAACCACAGCTCTTCAGTCGTGCAGCCAGCGTGCTTTAACACCCAAATAAGGAGAGCACGGAGTAACCAGCGAAGAGAAATGTGTGTTTGGAAAAGGCAGACCTGAACGGTGGGGGATGAACCATCGATTGCTCACCTCCTGCACGCTGTAACTCCCGTTCCGTGGCACCTCAGCGTTCGGCTGGTGTCTCTTACTCACTCGCCATGTGATTTTTGTACGAGCCACTTCAGAGAGGTGCCTGGGGGAGTTTGTAGCCGGGTCTGGTCCTGCTTCCTTCGGTCCTGGGCTGCAGAGAGCCCTCTGGGCAGCGTGGCGTTGAAGTGACGCTGCGGGAGAACCGCACGAGTCAGCTGCAGGGAGCACTGCGCTGAAACACACTAATTCATCCCTGATCCTGTGTGCTGTGCGTATCCACACAACATCAGACCAATAAACCATGACAAGTAAACCTGTAATGCACTGCCAGCTCTCGTTGTTCCTGCAGCATCAGATCATGGAGAAGAAAACACGTTTCTCTTCGGAGAACGGTGAAGCCCCTCTTTTAGTAGGTTGTCCTGAGTCTCCGTTAATCCCTTTCCTGTCACCACATTCTAGTTGCAAGGGTCCCCGCTGACTCTATTCCTTCCTTTTTCCTGTAATTTGTGAACCTTGTGGCCTTGTTGCTCAAAGGGAGGGAAAAAAGGTGAACACATGAGCAGCTTTTTGGAAATGTTGATAGCAGGTTGCTGGTTTTGTCTCTGGAGCAGCAGTTCAGGGTGAAATGCTTTTCCCAGAGCTGCGGGCATTCTTCTTGAGTTTTTGTTGGTGGCGCACAGATAAGTGCAACAAAATGTTTTCTTAGCTTGTATTTAATAAGGAGTATCAGAGAAAAAAAAATAACAGTTGCCAACTGGATGAGGACACAGAGGAATATGAGCGAAAATGATAGATAGTAGTTTGCTTATTTACTCTCTGATATGCTGCTGCCTTAAATATTTTCATTTGACTTGTATTCAGACCAACAAAGCACGCTGCTCCTCTGTCTACATGAAAGATTTCAGGTCTTTCAGATGTTTGTAGAGAAACAGTGTTCCTGCTTCCGTTCCGCCACCTCCTTAGACAAACTCCTCTGTGGGAGTGGCTCACCTTTTCAGACCACATCAGTTTTTATGAAAAGAATAAACCATTTGTTCGGTTTTTTTTTTTTTTTGCTGCTGTTTTCAAATCTCTGGATCAATTAATCCTGCAGCTGAATCCAGCTAGAACAACGAGCTTCAGGTGGTGGATGTTCCTCAGCCTTTCAATAGTTTGGGAGAATCCCTTTTTGGGGGAGATCAGTTTCATTGTGACCTTACTAACGCACCAGTCTCTGATAACTGCTCGAAATAGGAAACAGCGCTGCAACCAGTTAATTTCTCTCTGTAATTAGCTGCATTAGTGTACTTTTCATGCAGCTGTAGCTCATATACAATGAAAATGTGTCGTCTCTCCTCTGCACTGCACTGGATAACCCCATGGAATGTGTTTTTTCAGGTTTCTTCTTTGTCTGAGAGTGAAGATTCTCAGGACTCATCGGACAGCATCGGCTCCTCGCAGAAAGCTCGCGGCATCTTAGCTCGGCGCCCATCTTACCGGTAAGTACTGTAGGGAATATATTTTGTATTTTTATTTGAAACCAAAATACCAACTTCCTTCAATGGCTTCTTGTATTCTGTCAGCTTCTAAGTTGTTTCTTTCTCTTGACCCACGCGTTGGATCTGCTCAGGCAGTAAACATTGTGAGGATCCATGTCAGCTGTCACTTCCCACAAGCAAACTTTGACTTAACTCACTGGAGATCAGCTCCAACTGGTTTTAATTGATATACAAAGCCTGTTCTCGAGAGCATTAGAGGTTCAAGTTGTAGCTGACTGGAGTTACTCTTAGCTCATAAAATGATTCAAATGTTGAACTAAAAACCCAAAGTATATAAACTACAGAAATGTCAGTACAGAAGGAGTTCGAGGCAGTCACCTCATACAAAATATTATTAATTCCAAAAACTGTTGTACAGCAAAATTCTGGTGTTTCTTTCTGCAATGCAAAGCTGGGATTGTGGTTTGTAACGGTTGTTGCAGTAATTTGTAGTTTTTGCCTCCTGTTAGAGCTGATAAAGAAACTTTTTTTGTAGAAAAATTTTGAAAGATCTTTCTTCTGAAGATACACGCGATAGAAAAGGAGATGAGGAGAGTCCCGGCGTCTCCACTGTTACATCCATGTCCGTTCCCACGCCTATCTACCAGACCAGCACTGGACAGTACAGTACGTTACGCAAAATATGTTGCCAAATACAACTTGCCGCAAAATACAGATTTTCTTTTTGTTATATCTTTACTAAGATGAAACTCAGAAGTTTTGGTTATTTATCTAACAGTTATTAAAGTTAGTCCTTTTATTCTGTGGAAATAGACCGGTATCTAAAGACTCCAGATAAACTCAATGCTTCGTTATCTTAATTTTTGCATATTAAGACATTCAGAGGATGTTGTTATGAAACATGTAGCAGCCTGCTGGTGTTAGTCCAAAACGTAAGATCAGTGGAGACCATGATATATACCATAGGGCCGCACCAAGAGGTGTTCCTGTGATCTCAGGAAGGCAGCAAAAAAAGGCTTTGTTCCTTTGATTTTATCACCCAATATTCCTTGTGCTTGTGAACAGAAAGCAGCCTGCTCCGGCGCCTGGAGCACGTCCTCTCCATCCGTATTCTCTGAGCTGGGGGTTCACACCGCTCGCTCTCACTCCCCTGCCCCTCGCTCCTTTGCCTCTCTGCGTTTTTGCCCCTTTTTAAAATATTTTCCTACAGAGCAGCCACCAGCTGTGGCAGGCGTGGCTCCGTGTGGGGCCGGCGTCTGGCTCGGGGCAGCCCCAGACTTCACCCTGGGCCACCCCTGCGGCTCCCCCCCTCGCCGCTTACACCCAACGTGTTTCTTAAGAACCAGCAGCGAGATCTGATAGTGAAAGCGATGGAGGAAAAAAGCCTTTCAAAGCTGGCGGTATTTTCCAGCAGTGGAAACAGATGCACAGCCTCCAGATGTACCTTCATCTGGATGTTATAACGTACAGCTACAAATAAAGTCTGTGTGTGTTATTTTTTATTTTTAAGTTGCCATCGCTGCGAACGGCTTACAGCTGGCCAGCCCCGGTTCCGATGGCGTGCAGGGGCTGCAGACGCTAACGATGGCAAACGCTGGCGGGACCCAGCCGGGGACAACCATCCTGCAGTACGCCCAGACCTCGGACGGTCAGCAGATCCTCGTCCCCAGCAACCAGGTGGTCGTGCAGAGTGAGTAACGCCTCCCGGAACGGGTGTGAAATACCCGCCGCTGAGGCAGGGGGAACTTCCTAACGCTCCCACGTTTTGCTGTCTTGTGCTCTTATCGCAACAGCTGCGTCAGGAGACATGCAGACTTACCAGATCCGCACCACGCCAACCACCACGTCCCTGCCGCAGACCGTGGTGATGACATCTCCCGTCACTCTGACATCACAGACAAGTAAGACAGATGATCCGCAGCTGAAACGAGAAATAAGGCTGATGAAGAACAGGTATGTGAGCGCGCGTGGGCTGCTTCGATTTGGTAGTTTAACGTTCTGAAATATTCCCTTCAAAGGACAAATGATGAGTCTTGCGAGCTAACTTTACCAATCGTGCTATCAGTTTGGCACGCTGCATCCGTAACTGAAACCATCGGAAATTCTGACCAAAACATGTCTGACACAGTCTGGAGAAAACAAATTGGTTTTTCCCTGCAGATTGGCCACCACGCATGGTACCAGGTGCTGCCCCATTTCATGCTCTCCACCTACCACCTGCGTACTTTTCATTTTGTTCGTGGTCGCAGCGCCAGCTCTCGCCACTCGTACTGGTCAGTGTCGTAAGGTTCGTGAAACAGACAAATCTCAAATCTAAAATCAAGAATTACTTCTGCTTGTCTGTTCCAGAGAAGCTGCTCGAGAGTGCCGCAGAAAGAAGAAAGAGTACGTTAAATGTCTGGAAAATCGAGTTGCAGTCCTGGAAAATCAGAACAAAACTCTAATTGAAGAGTTAAAAACTTTGAAAGATCTTTACTGTCATAAAAGCGTGTAAGAAAAGAAGGTAAAACTTTTGTGGACTGTTTAAATTTCAGAGGAGAAATTTTTTTTTATACTGAATTTTTTAAACTAGATGAAAGGTCAAAAATGAAACTTTTCTACCTAGATTTCACAACTTAAAGACTATATAGATTTTATTTACAACATGTTGGTGACAAAGTACAAAAAAAAGGAAACAAGGAAACCTCACCAA